TAATCTCACGGAATGTCCAACATTTGAATGTTGTACTCCGCTCTGAGTGAAGCAACATATATACTCAATAGCTGTTTCATGCTAATTCGATTGTTAAGAAAAATATTAAAATCATCTTTACATGTTAACGATACGTATAGTATAGTAATAAATAAAGGAAACATCCTATTGCTGTAATTATTATGCGAATATTAACAACACAAAATGGATTTTATGAATTTTAATTTATTTATAGTGTTGCGAAATTTGAGAATTTTAATTTTTACAAATTTACAAACAAAATGAACACTGATAGAAATAAACAGTAAATTCAAAGTTTGACATGATAAATAAAAGCAATAAAATACGCATATGACACTACGGGGAAAGGTGAGGAAACGAAAATACTGACTAGCAATTCACAATAGAGCGTAAAGACGTACAATTTCTTAAACATTAGCTATCAAAATATACTGAGAAAAATTTAAGGACGAATAGTTAAAGAGTGAATTCGAATCCACGACTTTATATTTTACAATCAGTAAGTCATAAAGATGTTGGCTGCACTAAACCTGTAACCAAAACAAATTTTGTCTTACATCAGTAACCGTTGGTTTCTGAGACCGAAATCCCCGTTTAAAACATAATGGATGATGATACATTTTAAGTAGACATTTTAGTCTCAAAAACCACGGTAAGTAAATAAAATCAAAGTTAATCAAGTCACGCTAAACGAAGTATTTAAAAGTACGTGAAAAAACTTGTATGAATAATAAATAAATTAAACCACGATTTGTAGACATGTGAATTCCGTCAATGCAAATCTAAATTGCTTTGAGTCGCTTATGTACATATTTGCAGTTCAATTAACCATCATAACAGTTACCAAAACAAAACACTTTATTTATTATAAAATTCTACCAAAGCAATCATATTCACACGTAAAGTAAAAAAAAAACGAAATTAAATTTACTTCTGACATGTTACTACTTTTAACTATTTATTATTATTTTTCTCCTTTTATCAACAGAGCTCTTTGTCTTCCCTTGCTTGGTACAGCAATTTATTTCACGTCGGACAATGCGTGGCAACAATTCACGAATTTAATATTCCATCTATTTCGTCGTCTCGATGCGTTACTATACTATACAAAAATATTTAAACAATAATATTTTTTGGTAATGTAAGATATTATCTGAATAGAAAACAGAGAATGTATTATTTTACAAGGTCATTTCATCTTGGTATGAAGTTAATTAAGTATAGTTTAAAAACCATTAATTCTGTTTTTACAAAGAGATAATTTACGCTAGTATTAATAGAAATGTTCATTACCATCGTAAGAATATTTTCAAAAATATTTAATGGACTTCTTTCACAACGACCTTGACAAACAGTTTACGGGCGACTAACTGATTGAAAGAACAAAATTATAGCGATGTCTTCCTGTCTACGAAGTTCCATGACATTATATTACGTAAGTCTTAGAGCGACTAAGATTGCCGGGTTTCAAAGATTTACGTGGCCTTGTGTACGAAGGGCCTAACAGTGAACAGCATTCTTCACCTATTCGTATTTCTATTGAGATTTAATATCGCGTTTTGTAAATCTGCTAACTAAAACCTAATTGCTTGTAGGTAATAACCAAGGACTACAAAGTCACGTAAACGTGAGCTAATAGTAATATTCTTAATATAAAGTGGTATGTTTTGGAAATTTTAGATGAAGCACTTTTACTAGCTTCGAGCTGATCCCTGTAAATGACAATACATAATTCTATCCCAATATCCTTGCAGTTAAATACAACGGTATGATGGTTAGTAAATAAAATTTATTTGATTATTGTACACACAAATTGGTGACATATGACACATAACTATGGCTGCTACCTCTTTGGGTTCGACTCATATACTTCAGATTTGCAAGCTGCAAATTCGGCCTTCGGGTTTGACATCGATTCGGGTCAATGCGGGTTATGTGAAACAAATCACTAGCTGTCGTTTTTTTCATTGTCCGCAGATGTCAAAGGTTAAAAAGTCACAGGTGGTCATTTATTTTACACCGCCAGAATAAAACAAAAAAAAAGATTTTTCTTTTTACTTTTATCTTTAGGCAGTTCGTACACAAGGCAACGTAAATCTTCGAACCCAGCTATTTTAGTCACTTAGGGACTTGCGCAATACAATGTAGAGTATGGAGCTTCGTAGTCACGCGTCGCTTACATTTTGTTCTTTTGTCGCCTAAGCTAGTCGCTCGCAACCTTTGTTAAGATCATATCGAAAAATTCGCTATATTTTTAAGATGGCGGAGTCAATCTATACAGTATATGTAGTCGATATACATGTACTGATCGTATAGACGAACTGCGTCGACTGTCAATTTTACTCGCGACACAAAGATGTAAAATTACTGTAAAAATTTACTTTGCCTTGTGTACTAAAGGCTTTACTTGCAATACAAACGTAAATTTCTAATATACATATGATGATGTTTTCAATATGTTATGTATGTTAGTCAATCAAAACAATGTTGTACAATGGTTTACGTTACCTTTAATTATAACCGAAGCTTATCTTTGTTTTAAATTTATACAATAACTAACACTGAAACAGCAGGGAGTCTTGAAATGTTACTATCTCAAATCTGTCGATGACCAAAGCGTTCATTGTAAAGCAACATTGTTAGTTCTTAAAGATTTATTGCTCGTAAGACCTAGCTAACTATTTAGTTTTGAAGGTAAATCACTTTCAATTACATGTTTACACTTACAAAAAGTTAAGTGTTCAGGCGAAGTAAGTTTTTCAGATATTGTTATCGATATTCGTAGCGCATTTTGTTTTAATATTAATTCAACGATATTTAACTTCTTGGTTATAATTTCGTCCGTTTGTCTGTCCGCAAATCCGCCTTTGTTCCAGGTAAATCTCTGAAACGGCTGGATCGATTTTGACGGGGCTTATACTAGAAAGAAGTTTGCGTATGCGGGAGAAACAAATGCAACTTTTTTCATTCTGCGCTGACAAAGTCGCTGTCCGCTATTATTTTATACAATTAAGTAACATATAACCATCCTACTGGTGAAACTTGTAATTTCATCATACAAACTAGCCCAGCAATTATCAACGGGATCGTAAGAGGTGACGTTTTGTCAATTTTATGTTAATTTTATGATCGAAGCCTTTGTAAAGGCCACGTGTCGGCGTAACTTTATCCCCGTTTTAAATTTGGTTATGAATGTGAAGTTGCTAATATTAAGATGATAGCTTTATTTATTTCAATACTTTTTTGAAAAACATAAAGACATATTCAAAGGAAATTTTACGTTTTAAGGCTAATTGAATACAAATATTATGTACTTACTCGTATCTCAATATGTTCATATCATATAACGCAACGCATATTATAATATACTTTGAGCAGTAAAAATGGGTCAAAACAAAAAATATGAACATTACAATAATCCGAATTCAAATCAAGTGTAATTTAATCACAATTTTAATTTCAACTTTAATAGTTAATGTTTGATATCACAATATTTTTTTATATTCTTCAAAAACTCAACTTTATTATTTTTTTAACGAGTATAGTTTTAAATACTTATCATCATCAAACTTTGTCTGGCAACGAACACAACTCGTTTCATATTAACACCATTGCGACACGTTATACCGTAAAAACTAAAACTTATTGATCATCTTTTAAATAAGTTAACGAAGTAATAAATTTAATTTTAAGTCTTCATGTCCTTCTTATATTAATAATATTAATAATACGAGAAGGACACGTATAATCGAATAGTTTTGTTTATTAGCATTGCTTATTTATTTAAAAATTTCGATTTGGCTTTATAATTTTCACAATTTTTTTATTTTTTGAAGTCTCTATTGACCCTTGAATGTAAATATTGGCAACGGATCCCCAACCTTTGTGACTAAATCGCTTGTTCAAAAGTTAATTACTAAACTAATCATATAAGAATGTAAAAAAGTTCAACCTCTCTATGAGCACAAAACAAAGGTTGTTTCCCGTTGAGTCGAACGGTCTACCGATATTCACATTGGACCGATGAATCGGTAGTCCAATTGGTCTAAGGCAAAAAAGTTAATACTTTACAATCATGGAAATATAAATACTTTTACCTAAGTATTTTACAGAGGAACGGGTTAAGGACATTAAAATATAAAATATTTGCACATTGATTCTAATAAATTGTGAAAGCGATGTTAACTTAAGTTCAATAGCAATTACAAAATAATGATATGACCTTTATGACCCCGTGATAAGGTTTAGTAAAAATTTAACAATCGATTGTACTAGGCACTTACCACTACAGTCAGAGAAAAATGTATTATTTTTTCTATTGTGATGTACAGTCAGCTGCATAAATATGTATACATTCTTTATTTCAAGAAACTTGTATCCAACTTCGTTTTAAAAAAGATGCATTCGTATTGTTCTGACCACGAAAATGTGATATTGACATTGGATAAGTATTTTTAAGAACGAAGCCTATACTATTTACTAAAATTTTATGTATGTATCCATAATATTGCAGCTGACTGTACAATCAATTACATCTTAACTAGCTTCAATGCCTAATTATAAACGACCTATCTCAAATACCTCACAATAAATATATAAAATTCACATGAAAAGGCCTTGAACGCCCTCTATACTAGTCCGAAAGCAGGTAATACGTATATACTATATACCCATTACTTAAAAATCCTTCAAGTATAATTTCCTTCGTACATTTTATTTTCATAAATAAAAAAAAATAATATTACATATTTTTTTATTACTAAGCCTAGAGTATGACCATGGATTAAGAAAATAAGAGATAAAGCAGATATTATACTTGGTATAATTTTTAGTATCCCAAATGTAGAATAAAATACCATAGTGCTCATCTTTTGAAGGACTAATTGTTTAAAGGTGGTCGTTACGCTGCAGATGATGCGTAATGTCAGCGAGTAAGCTTAAGTTGCATCTGTGAAGCTATATAAGCACTTTCACTACGCTAGCGGCCTAGTCGCGGGATGATACCCCGATACATACGCACTCTGACCCCAGACACCGCGCGGGACGGACATACACATTTTTTTAATAAAAAAAAATAGTGCCAGTGACGTTGTGTCGTGATTTTCGTGTGTGCAAGGTGAGTCAAAAATATTGTTAATTATTAATCAAACTTAATCATATAGGATTCACAAATGAAGATTTTACATACGCATCAATACTTAATTATTATGTTATTTGTAATTAAAATATATTATCTACAAGTTAAATTATTTATGTTGCGAATGTACATATTTAAAACCACAAATACAATAATATTACAAACGCATTCACTTATCCTTTGAACAAAATCACATTGTAATAAAATTGTCTGTACGAAATTTATCACCCGCGTGTTTTCGACTAAAAGACATCAACGCACGCTCGCCGCGACTATTACAACATCGGTTAAATAATACAGATAAGAATATTGCCAAAAGACAAACGGACTTACCTTTGTTATCTATAGATACAAAGGTACAATTCACGAATGTTTATTTGACCTAAATTCAACTTCATTAAAATGAGTATGCTATTTAATATTTTGAAAACAATAATTTATTCTTACACATACCTTTTTCATATTTCGTTTAATTAAAAAAATATTAAAATAAACTTTAAACATTCGTCCTAAGATTATCAACCGAGCTCTAAATATTTACCATTTAGATAGATATATGAGTACATTACAAGTTTTTATAAATAATAATTAAATATAAATAAAATATTTTCATGTTGTCTTAGTGGCATTTAAGAAGATTCTAAAGTATGGATAAATTGTGTGAGTAGGAAGTCAATTGAAATAAGACGAATTGCACATATATACAAATCTAACTATCTTTCTATTATTATAAATGCAAAAGTTTGGATGCTTCAATATATGTTTGTTAGAAGTTCTCCCCAGAACAGCTTAGCGGATCTCGATATAATTTGGCATAAATAGAACGCTGTCTAGACAAAGACATAGGTTACTTAACAAGTTTTGTTTTTTAATTTCACGCAAATGTAGTAATCATATCTACATAGTCTAGCTCTAATGTCATCGGCAGTAAACAATTACGCAAATGCACTTAAGAGCTTCATAATGCCTAGCTGCTTAGTATGCATGGATCGAGTCATCGGAGAACGTTGACAGTTAAAGGTTGAGATGCGTGTATCGAAACATTTATTCCCATGCAAATGTATTACTAAACCTTCAATTATACGTAAACAAAACTAAAATGTTATCATCTCTTTGTCCTTTTCCTTCATATCTTTTAAAGTAATTTTTGTTATCACTCCCTTCTTTGTCACGTCACCTTTTACACAATCCATCCATATTTTCTTAAGCTTGTAATAGCCTTCTTCATTCATATTAAAAGTTTTCCTAACCACTCAATCTTAGGAAAGGTGTCATATCAGTCCAAATCAACCTTTTACGCCGCATTTTCTTCATTACTAGAACTATGATGCAACCGAATAATATTTCTTATCCAATGTATTTTGCCTGCGATGTCTTCTTTCAAGATGCTGACTTTTTATGTCACTGAGCATGACATAATAAAAAATATTCATCAGAATATCTCAGCGGTAAAGATTAAACAAACATTTAAAACTCTCTTATGACATAATATGTCCCAGAATAGCCTATTGACATATGGAATGGCACTAGACCGCGATCCATGATAACTCGACATTTATCAATCTTAAATTTTGAACCTTTGTATCCATTCACATTCAACCTCATTACTTTCTTAATTATGTGACCATCTCGATGAATATATGTCCATACTACGCTAACCTATTGACGCTACTTTTAAACTACCTCTTATACCAAACTACTTCAAAACAACAGCACAATCCATAGTACGCTAAAATAGACTTATAACAAATTATGAGTCTTTATTCTGGTTTTAGCTACTAATAAATGTAACTTATTTTGTTTATTTGTATCCAAATTACTTACGGATTCTTAACATGTAGACAATTAAGCGTTACATAAGTTAAAGTCGGTTCACACTGCAACTAATTCGTTTATTCAGATCTAAACTGTCTTCCTTGACGTCTCGTCGGAACGTTATAAACATTATTGCGGTGGAATCACCTTAATACAATTGCGACCATTCCCAGGCCATTCTCACGCTTGTTAACATAAGTATTACAAAATTAAAAAGGTACTATTAAGCAATGGATAAAGAAGATTCGTTTACGTGATCCGATACCGTAATATAACAGATTACAATGAGCTTTAAACAATTAGATCTCATAATTACTTTACATTTATAGGCCTAGAGACAGATTGCGAGAAACGTTGGTTGGACCACTGTAACATAATATTATAAATTCGAAAGTTTTTATGCATGGATGTTTATTATAAGGTATCTCCAGAACCACTAAATGGATCACGCTGAAATGTGACGTGGATGTATAGCATAGCCTGGAAGAACGTATAGACTAGTTAGAACGTACTAATCAAGTTTTACCAATTCCATGTAGACGCAATCTCAAGCGACAGCTAGTAACGATTTTTGCGACTTCCCAACATAGAGTGTTTAAAGACATATAAATGATAAGCGACTATGCTTAAAATAAAATAAAAAAATTATTGGTAAAGCCCGCTCTATATTTGGTATTATGTATGTATCTCTTTGTTATCATCATTGGTCTGTGCATCTGAACAATGTTCGGAGGAATCTCATTGTCTGTACACGAGGTAAAACACGTGAACGGCATATGAACCTCTTTCTATTTCATACACGAATCCTCAAGCTGTTTACTTACAACTAAAACTAAATTAAGATCAATCTCTGTGCATATGTATTGTGAATTAATTGAATAAATAATTTAAAAGGAACGATTAAAATTCAAACATACGTATGTTTGAAATATTATTTTTTTGTTCATTGCAAAGATCAAATGTCGTTAGTATTAAAAATAAAAAACACATTCCTACCTGCTTAAATGGTCAATCAGATAACTAAATGATTAAGTATGAATAACTTACAAATAATAAGACACAGGTAAATACTACTACAAACAAATATTTCTAATAACATTTATAGTAAAACGTCATAATAAAAAAATATTAAGCATTTTAAGTTTAGTTAATAGCCATATTTTCCACTATAATTTCACATACTAATTTAATTTAGAATTCAGTTTAAATAATTAAGGAAAACTAAGCTAGTCCGCATACGAAAGGACGAATAGCAAAGCAGATGTTAACTCGGTCAAGTATAAACGTTGAGGTTAAATTATTAAAATCTTACTAATATAATAAATGCGAATGTTTAGATCAGTCTTTCCCAAAGTGGCCGATAACGCTCCATAGTGGGCGCTGCAGGTCTCAAGTTGCGGGTTATAGTAAGAGTTTCGTTTAGAATTCTCCGTTAATTTACATATATAGGTCACAATAATTAATTTATTTAATTTGAAGTTATAGTGGTTTTAAATATGTGAAAATATGGGGGCGCTAAAAAACTATTTCTTCTCGAAGTGGGCAGTAGACAAAATAATTTTGGGAACCACTGGTTTAGATGGATGGATGTTTGTTATTAGGTATCTCCTGACTGACCTCATAGATCATCATGAAATTTGGTGTGGATGCAGAATGCATGATATACGTTTGATTTCGGAAATTGTACATTTCATATATTGAAATTTGGCACAGATATAGAACATAGTTTCGAACAATATAGTATTCTTATAATTTTGCGCAGACGTAGTCGCGGGCAAAAGCTAGTATTTTCAAGAAGATGACCGTGAACCCGATTTATCCGCAAAGTTATCGACTTGGTTAAAAGAGAAAGATACAGTGAAAATACGTAATTATGTTAACAAGTTTAAACGAAAGTGAACGCGCAACGTGTAATTCAAAACATTAGAATTATTTGAATATTTATGCTAAGTTATTTAATTCGTATCATACTCTCGTAATGGTCATTAAAGAAGCTAAGTTTAGTTATTTCATTATTGTGTTACTTGAAAGCCGTGTAGTAAGTGAAGTTTTCTGCGATTCTACAGTTTTAAGAGTGTAAAATATTTGTGGTCGATATTTTTCATACTGTGTTTTGTTGTAGGAAGTATTCATCTTCTATTAACATTGAATGCATCAGGATAATCTTTGATAGAGTAAGTTTATGATTACAATTATCAACAACTTTTAATTTAGTTACTTATTAAGTAAGATGAGAAATGATTCATAGTCGTTATTAATTATTTTTTTATAGACAAAAATATGAAAGCAAAAACTATGTAAGTTTTTGCTTATTTTCAAACTAATCGTCACCTTGAACTTGCGGTCCTTTGATGACAGAATAATATATATTTTTATTTTTACTATGAGATTTAAATCTATAATTTTATCAAAAACAATCTTAGAATATATTTTATTATTTAATTTTTACAATTTCAAGTTTTTATGCGAATGTTTCATTAAAACAAAATATGTTCCGTGAATAAATCATCAGATTTCATAGATAATTTAAAGTTCTTTATCTGACTAGTCATCCTGCTATTAGAAACATAATTCAATATTAAAAAAAAAAACGATATTTTAAAAACAAAATAAAAACTAGGTACATTAGCGGAACACGACCTATTTTTCCTACAATATTTTTCATACATTTTTTGGTAAATATATCGATGTAATATGATGTATGATAATACAAAGAAACATACGAAATAGACGCCTATTTTGCCAAACTTAGGTACGCTCTCTTCCAAACAATTGAAGACGGACGTAATAGAATTCAACGCGTTGTTAACACGGAGAAAATGTATGCACATTTGAATAACTGTATTCTACGTCACGTCTCACTTTGGTTTTAAAGCCAAAAATGATGCAACTTAAAGATTTACTTAAGTAAATGACCGACAGACACAACAATGACACACACTTTCAAAAACCCTATAACATAACTGTGGGATTTGACTATAAATAAACTTGTATACGCATTTTATTCTCTTTGAGTAAAACAGAGTTAAGTATATTTTAATATAATAGATATGGCTACAAATAAATCGCGCGGACACAGAGTCGCTGGCAAAAGCTAGTATTAGTACTTATGAATTCTTTAATTTAATGTGTAATTTTAATGAAGCATTAATTTAATGAATTAG